GGTACACCTGCATTATCCAGTGCAATCCAACACAAATGCATGAAGTCTAATTTATGATGCTGACAATGTTCAGGGTGGTACAGGAATAGATTCAGAGGTGTTACTAATATTTAATGTCTCCCACAAATGTAAATCAAATGACCAACAAAGACGAAGGTGTTTATGTAATGCAGTCCAGGATGACACCATCTTTAGCTCATCTCGCTGTGCAGATGGACGTAAGTAAGTGGACACTGGATTTATATTCATTTTAGAATTATAATAAGAGTTGTGAGAATTTTTAAGTATTAACTTGACCATGGATAATTACATTACATAATTGTGTTAATCACATCACTGCTTTGAGGGGTTGAAATCATTGTTAACTTTTCCTCAAACAATAATCCAAACATTGTTTGTGTGTCTGTCTGTGTGTGTGCAAACATACATACATCTGTCCTGTCAACAGAGCACTGACCACACAACATACATGTATTTTGCAAACATTGGAGTCCTGAATGACCTTAAAGATAAAGGGGGAGGAACTGAACACGGTCTGTGTGTAGATGAAGTGAATGGTCATTATATAGTTGAGCATGTAACTGGCTGAATATTCATGTAGGAGCTTTGGAGGAATCTGAAAAAAAGTCTCTATTTACAAATGTGGTGTTGAAATTAAGTTCTTACCAAACATCACTGAGAAGGTGATTTACAGTAGGAACAAAAATTATGCAAGAGGCAACTTTTCTCACATTTCCTCTAATGTGCTTATTAGCTTTCTTGCTAAAAGGTGGATGAGGAGATCAACGCCACTCAATCTTTTTTCCTGTTTTTAAGATGAGGGTTAGGGTTAAGCTAAGCCAATTAACATCTGGCTGTAGCTTCATACCAGAAAGACATGAGAGTGGAGTCTCCCACCTTTGTAGTGGCTGAAGACAGCAGAGAAAGAACTGATGTCTAGCCTACATGTATATGTTGGTCATACTACAACTGAACACCACGAGTTCAGCTCAGGCTTGGAAGTGAATACAAATGTCGCTGTTGAGTCTCAGTTTGAGTTCTTGTTTGCTCTGAAGTCATCCTCTGCAATTCAATAAACAGTTAAACTAATGAGGGAAGAAGAGCAGTGGGAAACGCACCTATAGCTCCTCCTGTGCATCGTGCCAAACAGAAAATTAATGAAACTGCAGCGTTCGAGTCAAAGTGAATCTGTGATCCTTACTGTTCTACAATAGTTCAAGCAGCTGATTGATTTTACAGACTGCTGTAGCAAACATATGTCTCAAAGATGGTGTCATGTGTGACTAATATCTTCTCCTCCTGCTACAACATTAACAGTTTACTTCCAGCAGCTTGTTCTAAGTAAACTGTGTACAAAGCGTGGGTGTAACTGCAGCTTCCTGTCCAGAGAAAGAGCACTGACAAAAAATAACAGTGAAAGATGACGAAAGCTCAGTGTCGTAATAAAGTCTGATCACTTCCTTTTCACACGGTCGACAAAGTAATTTCCCTCTCAAGCATTAGTCAATGTGATCAGACGCTCAGGTTTTATGAATGTGATTAAGTCTTGAACACTAAATATTAATGGCTGTGTAGATATCAATTCACCCATGTGTGCTACTGCATGAAGCAAGTTTGACATAGACAAGTAGTACAATATGCAAACTCTCCCACACTACTCCGTTTTCTATTTTGGTGCCAGGTGGGCTCCACCCATTTTTCTGTCTGGCGTGATCTCTCTCCTCTTTTTCCTTATCTTTTTTTTTTTATAAACAAAATGCCAAAAAAACATATTTAAATAGTTTTGCCCAATCATTAGTTCAAACCCCTCCAGATATTCAGTTTACCGTTAAACAAGAGAGAAAAGCAGCAGATCCTCAACTTTGAGAAACTGGAACCAGCAAATTCTTATGGTATACGACCAAAACAATCAACTGCTCTTCGAAATAGTTGCTTAACGGCTGGCTGCAGTACCTGTCAGATATCGTGCCTCCTTCATGTTGGTGGAGAACACATGGGCCAAACTAAAAAGGTAAAGTAAAAATCTAAAATTCATTTTATGTCATTATTATCACACTGATGTTTGTTTGTGTGTTTGTTGTTCTGGTTGGTTTGGTTTTAATAATTCATCTGATGTTTTAAAAACAGGGTAAAACATCATGATCGACAGCTGAGAATGTGTTTCGGGTGGCAGTGTTCATATTCAGGTTAGTTTGGTTTCATCTCTGGAAAGTGGGAGGAGGCCTCTCGCCAGCTTTATTGACAGTTTATGGTTTCATCTTAAATGACGTAATTTTAGTGCATCTAAAATTGAACGAGAAGGAGTTGTTCAACACAAATTAATTTGTATATGTTGTTGCTCAGAGAAGAATGATACCACTTATCTAAACAGGAAGCTAAAGCCTGCTGCAGGCTGGTACGTATAATTTCCTTTTGCCTAGAACATATTTTTTACATATTGATGAGCTTGATTGTTTCCTTTTTTTTTCAAACTGGTTTTTGCTTATAGATTGTATTGTATTTCCTTTTAACTACAAACATTTGGGGTTTTTTGGTCCAGTAAATTACCACCACAGTCCAGTGACGGTTAATACGAGTTAATGATGAATGTAGTCTGAGGTCATCGCATCAAGTGCATATTTTTTAAGATTATCTAAAGTTAATCATTGAGAACAGAACTACAAAGACACTGTGGTTGACACACAGGGCAGTGTTACATGTTGTGGTATGTGTTCAAAGAATAATACATTATAATACATGTAATCAATACATTATGAGTAGAATTATTTTTGGATTCCGAAGTAAATTCCCTCTTGAACTGAATTCTAGTCATTTTAAATCAAATGTAACGGTTTTTAAATGAACCAAATGAACCCAGGGTTGAGATCCTTTAAAAAAAAAAAAGGGGGGCAGAAGAATGAGAGAATAAAAGAGGAAGAAAGGGGAGGAGCCAGTAGATGGTAGAGAACAGGATTTGGAGGTAAGATAGACAGATAGGACTCTTCCTGAGTTGAGCTGTTTGCTGTGTGGGGCTCTTCTCTGCTGTGTCTGCTCCCGAACTATGGACTAAACCTGCCCAGACACTCACTGCTCTTTTGAAAAATTTGAGCCTCGTTCCAAGGTAAGCACACCTTTTTTTTTCTCTCCACCTCTCCTTTTCAGTGTCACACTTCCCTCTCTCCTGGCTCTGCAGGCTGGGTGTGTGGCAGTAGACCATTACCTGTGTCTGCTCTGTGCGAATCATCAATGAAACACACAAAAAGAAACAGTGCTTTCAGAAAAATACAAACCTCCAGCTTTTTTGTGCATTTGTGGGTTTGTTTTCAGCAGTTCAAGAGAAACAGGTTCAGCAAACATCAGAGTGCTAAAATTCTTTAAAATGCCTGGTATGTAGCCTCCTCCAAGCCTCCACTTGTGGGACAGACTGCAGAGAGAGCAGCTAAAGCCAGGATACTGTCTCTCTGCTTCTCTGAGTTATTTGTGCTGAGGGAGCTGGGACACACAAGTCTTGCAAACTCCTTCAACAAAAACAGTGTTGTTCTTCCTCCCTGCTGTGACGGGGCAGAAATTAAGTGTGTGTGTGTGTGTGTGTGTCTGTCTGTCTGTCTGTGTGTGTGTGTGCGTGTGCGTGTGCGTGTGTGTTGATAAAAAAAAGCCACAGAAACACCACAGACACACAAGTGTTCTGCTCTGCAAACTGACTGTACACTATAGTGACTATTTCTGCACACTGAACAATGAGATGTTATATCAACCCAATCTAAAATGCTTTTGTCTGCAATGCACTGCCTGTGTTGCAGGTAAAAGCTGTTACAACGCTCACTTGTGAAGTTGTGCGGTAAATGTCTCTGGAGGGAATGCACGAATGCACTTCCCTTTTTCTGTAGATCAGTTTGTTTCCACGTCATTTGAATATCATGTTTAAAGGAACCAGTGGAATAATTTCAGCTGATAAAGCAGAGGTGACAACAGAGACACTATTCAAAGGGAATATGAGCTGAGTGACAGGTGTGATCTTATCAGCAGCCACGTTTCTCTTGCTCTACTTGCTGTCAGCCACCATTTTCAGAGACATGGCTGGTATTACTGTATATACAGCATAGTGGTGGGGTAGATGCTCAGAAACAAGTGGTTGGACAGGAAAAGTAATAAGAGCAGTAAAGCTGATTCTGAGAGCTTCACGAGAAGTTCGCTATCACCCTCAATCTCACAATCATGTTTGTGGGCTAAATAAAAGCTACAGCCAGGAGCTCTTTATTAGTTCGCTGTAAACAAATATGTCTCACATCACTTGGTTGAGAAGATGAGGAAAAAAATAAAATAAAGTTTAGTTGCACTTATATATATGGCACATGTAGCACTTGTAGTTTGGCTTTTTGAGGCTAATTGAACTTGCATGATTCTTCCTGTTCTGGGTTTGTACACTCGTGGTCGAATGCACTTATTGTGAGTCGCTTTTATTAGCAACAACTTGTGTTATTTAAGAGAACATGCAAATTGTTTCAGTCTTCATAAGATTCGCTCATGAGCTGCAGCTGCATGCTCACTAAAACAGTTACTACTGTGGATTAAGCACAAAAAACACTCAGTCCTACATTTCCCACAAACCCAAGACATGTTTTTGATCCTTTCAGTGCCACAAATGTGTTTTTTGCAAAGTATTATTTGAAAAATAATTCTGAGCCATTCTCTCTGAGTGAGTAATAATAGTAAAAAATAATTACCCATTAATAATGCAATAAATATTTCATACCTATTATTAAAGCTGCACTTATCTATACTCACCACTATGCCGATGGATGGGGTAGGTGAAGTGTTTAAGTCCACACATTTACTTCAGTTGTATTGGATTTGGCTGCAACTCTGTTTACCCCTGAGACTCCAGAAGTGTTTTGTGGACTCAAACAATTCACCCACCCCTCCGTCGGCATAAAGGTGAGTAGATAATGAGTGAATTTTCATTTTTCTGTGAATTATCCCTTTAAACCCTATGAGACAAACTGTGATTTGTGAATATGAGCTATACAGATAATATTTGAATGATTCTCCACAGCTCTATGGAGCATTTCAGCCTTTTTTCAGCGCATTGTTTTGATTTTCGATTCTGCAAAATCCCCTCAGGTCATGTTTTTCATCCTCATCATGCAGCACACACAAAATGTAAAAGTAGGCAAACAAAGTTGAGTATATACAGCAAAAGAGCCAAATTCTTTTTATTGGGGCAGACCAAAACTGAGAGGCGAGGGGTGAATGTCTGTTGGGGATGAGGATCTGTTTTCAGTCTTTACTGATGCCCTGAGGTGGAGCAAAAAAAAAAACAATGGGTTAAAAGTTTAAGTTTCACTCCCCCTGACTATGAAATGAGTTGATTTAACCATCAACAATAAAAAATGTGTATAATTGTGTTGAACCTCACAGTTTCAGTTAATACTGTAAACCTGGGAGGACAAAGTTGCGTTGGGACACATCCAGCAATTATGGAACAACTTTCACTGGAAGTGTGCACCTTTTGGCACAGCTTCCAGATGTGATGATTCAATTTCCAAATGAACTCAAGGTTGCTGCCTGTAACAGCAATGCAGCTTTGTACAGTAATCCGCTCTGATTACTTTCTCTGTGGGTTTGTTCCTTAGAAAGACCTTTGATCTGATCCATTGTTCCAGAAATTGTCTTCTCTCTCTCTCTCTCTCTCTCTGCAGATGAGTGACCAAGAGAGCAGCACCTCGGCCTCTCAAACAGAGGGAGAATTGGAGGGAGAAATGGAAGGGGACGAAGAACTAGATGAAGGACAGAGAGACTCCGTCCCCAGTCTGTCCTCCACCCTCCTCGCTGTCATACGCATTAAACAGAAGTACCAGGCCTTGAAGAAGAGGCGTCAGGTGATGGCCCTGAGCCTGGGAGAAGCAGGGACCTTCACAGGAGCTCCAGTTCGAACCAGCCCCAAAATCTTCACTTTTGATGGAATCACCCCTTCGTCCGCTGTTCCTCTGAAGAAGAAGAGGAGAAGGAAGAGGCGGGTTATGTTTCCGAACGGAAGGAGGCAAAGAGCCCCCCCAAAGCAGGAGCAGAGCAGAGCCAAGTACTGCCTTTACCTGCTCTTTGCCATCGTCTTTCTCCAGGTATTTAATCTGACATCTATTCCCTCAGAGAGATTTGAGATTACAATCCTTATCAGACGGACAAAAATTCCAGTGGAGTTCCACCGTACAGTTTTGACCTCTACCTTGGTACTGCAGTGAACTAATGACGGCCCATATTAAACCAATCCCATCAACTTGACCTCATCAGAGAAGCCGGGTTGAGCAGATCATTACGCCGTTTACGTTTCCCGCATTATGTTGCCCAACCTTTGGCTTGTTAAAGGATTAGCCTCTGTGGCTTCGAGACAGTAATGGTAATATAAACGACCATGTTGCTGTTGTCATGCATACAATCTGCACAGCTCCCATGTAGGTACCACGAGCTCCATTTGAAGTCAGTGCTTGAAGAGGGTGTATTGACCATATTCATAGATGTGTAGATACTAAATGAGATAAGGGCCATGGGTCATTTAAACACTGATATGCAGTTGTTTAGAGAAATAGAGATGATTTTGAATCAAGTCCATAGAACCTTGCTGCACTAGTCATCAACATTTTCTCTTATCTGATCACTCTGTCTGCAGGAACACTGCAAATGATGGGGGCGAGGAATTTGTAATATAAGTCTAAGCTGAAAACCAAAGTAGACAGAGCCTGTGCCATGAGGGCCCCTATTGTAACAATCTGCCAGAAGACTTAGAGAATCTGTTACTCATTTAATTTCACTTTTAAGAAAAATCTATATGAAAAGCTTTTATCATGTGATGTGTATTGCTTTTATTATCTGTTTCTTCGCTATAATTATTTAATTCTGATTATTTGTGAATTTTATATTGTTTGTTGCAAAGCACTTTGTTACTTACACTGAAAAGTGCTTTACAAATAAAGTTATTATTAATTATTATTTAGGTCTGAGGTGGATCCTGCATCATTACCCTGAGGCACTGTTCAGTATGGTCCAGTTAATCTGGGGATGACTGTTGACTCTTATTGTTGTGTGTATCAGGCAGCATTACTTACAATTTAAAATGGGCACTTTTTAAACCATTCCAAGTGAAATGAAAAGTGATCAGCAGGGTTTGCATCACCCCTCCGAGGCAGTTCTTTGTATTTGCAAAGAAGTTTTCCAAATGTCTCATGTGTTGCAACATGTCCTCTCTGCTGCTTGTTACTACGTTTTATTTATTTATCTTATTTTATCTGGAAACATCGATCCTCTGATCGGCAGAAAAAATTATTCTGATGATTAATCAATTGTAATTTTTAAGCACGAAATGCCCAAAATTCACTGATGGAGCTCGTCGAACATTGTTAGTTTCATAGTTGTCTATGATAGTAAACTTAACATCTCCCAACAATTTGTGTTAAGTTAACACTTAATAATCATCAGTTATTGTAGAAAATAATTTTCAGATGAAAATAATTGCTGGTTGCAGTGTTACAGTTCACCTCTGGGGGAATATTAAGACCTGGTATGCCTGGTATTCTGTGTTTTAATTATGAAAGAACTTGATAAATAGATAAATAGATAGATAGATAGATAGATAGATAGATAGATAGATAGATATACTGTACTTCATACTTGATGAAATACAACTCATGTATTAAAATGGAGGGAGCTCAATATAAAATAAATCAAATGTATTGTACATTTGATTTGGACACAAGACTGGAACCCCAAGATGTGGGCAGACGTGTCGGAGATGAACATTTCTGACAAATCTGCTGTTGATCAACTTGTGCAGGGAACTAGAGGCTTTTTTTGCCCCTGGAGGTCTGGGTAGTTGTCCTCTTTACAAAGCTGGTAATCCAATTGATTCCTTAACTGCCCGATCTTGTTCTTAATCTTGGTCACTTGTCCGTTTCCAGGTGTACAACGCCATAGAAAACCTGGATGACCACGTACTCAGATATGACCTGGAGGGGCTGGAGAAGACTCTGAGGAGAGAGGTGTTTGGACAGCAGGGTGCAGTGGAAGGTCTGCTGTCCCACCTGAACGACTACCTGTCCACCTACGTCCACAACAAGCCCCTCGTGGTGTCCCTGCACGGACCCAGTGGAGTGGGCAAGAGCCACTTGGGACGCCTCCTGGCAGGACACTTCCGTTCTGTGGTGGGGGAGGCGCTGGTGTTGCAGTACTACGTCCTCCACCACTGCCCCCAGGAGGCCGAGGCGCTGCAGTGCGCCAACGACCTCTCCACTCTCATTTCACAGATGGTGGTGCGTGCCGAGGAGGAGGAGAAGATCCCGCTCTTCATCTTCGACGAGGCCGAACACATGCATGAGGAGATCCTGGACGCCCTGTGGCAGCTTGTGGCCTCCAAACAGTCCAATGAATACTTGAACGCCATTTATCTGTTCCTTAGCAATCTGGGTCATGCACACATCACCAAACATATGATACAGAACTCCTCAAGTAGTTCTATGTCAGCATCCCATCGCCATAGTAACCTTGAAAAAGAGCTGACTCCAATATTACGCAACACCCTGGAGAAGCTTCATCTGCTGTGGACAGAGGCGGACATCTTACCTCTGGGCCTTTTGGAGAAAAGTCATGTGATGGAGTGCTTCCTGGATGAAATGACTCGAGAGGGGTTCTACCCGGACCATGTCAATATAGAACGCCTCGCAGGGGAGATTGAATATTACTCCTCTGTAGGGGGGCACAAATATTCCCAGACGGGCTGCAAGCAAGTAGTTGCTAAGGTCAACCTGCTGTGAAGTGCTCTGCAGGAAATGCTCCAAATTCTTTAGATGATGAAGACACAGTTGAAGGGAAGTGAGTGAGGTTACGAAACTTGAATGACACAAAAATTGTTTTTTTCCGAGTTTTGAAGAACAAGAGGTTCTGCTGTGGGAAGAAGTACGAAACCTGTGAAGAAGTTTGAAAAGGCCTCAGTCTTATCTTTTCATGCTTGTGGCTTTATTTGTACAGTATCTTTGGAGCTTTCTGCCTCCACCCAAATACAATGAAAGTAAATTAAATTTCATCTCATGGGATTTTAAAATCACCTTAAAACTGTAAAGTCAAGTTTCTATTGGAGCCGATTCTACAGAGAAAGTAATAATGTTATTTAACGGTGTTGACAGTCAGGTCTGCATCATCCAGTGTAATCTTGAACATTGTTTCTGGAAAACACAACTCTGCTGATTTCTGGGGATGACAGGGTTTCAGTGGTAACGGAAGTTTTGTCACATCATTCCTGTTTCCCTGAGGATGAACCCTGCTGAGTTCTTTCTTTATCCCCTGAATGTTCTTGATGTTCCACCAGCAAGTCCAATGTATCACTTATCTAGTGAAATACACTGCTTACAATTTTTTGTATGTACATTGTATAATTTGTTGAGAACAAAATGACGTAACAACTGTCAATGGAAACGAAAATCATCAACCCACTGATGACTGGATTCAAAACAACAAGATCTAAGTGAGAAACTGAAATCGCAGGTTGTGTCAGACCTGCCAATTCTGGTGTTCTCTGGTGAATGCTAATCCAGCTGCACGGTGCAGACACCAGTCCTGCTGCTGGGTTGGTTCCCCTTCTACGGCCCTGTCCAGCTCTCCTCGTGTAACTGCCGGCCTCCTGGTATCTCCTCCATGCTCTTGAGACTGTGCTGGGAGACGCATCTCCCAGATGAAATGCCATTCATCTGCATTGTATTGGGGGGGAGGCAGGAATCTCCACAGCTGATAGATGCTACTAGAGGTTACTAAGAATAAATGTTTATTAGGGATTTGGGTGAAGTGACCCTTTGACCCCTTTAAGACAAAGCATATTTCAGAACAACTGTATTGACAACTCAACCACACATGGGTGAACACTTATTACTGATCATTGTATGGTATCACACAGAAAAACAGGGGGCGGAGTTAGACCTGTGTTCTTTCATTTAGGAAGGGACGTTCACTTATTTGTAATGCATCACTTACCAGCACTCATTATAGGGTGTTCAGAGGAAGTCCTGTTCGTCATACGTTGAATAACTTTTATTGATCCTAGTGCAAGTCCGAGGATTTAAAAAAAATCTATGGAGGCGAGTGGATTCACTTTAGTATACAGCATAAGAACAGCAGATTCTGCCTTTGAGCTGCAGATGGAAAGTGGTAAGCAGAAGTAGCAGCTAATGACCCTTCATAAGATTTGGAGTGATTCTTTACAATTGTATTTATTAAAGAAAGAGGTATTTGTGTTGATATTCTGAAAGTTAACAGGCAAAGAAATGAAGTTAGTCTTGCCATACTTGCACTAGCATTAATATACATTTTTAATTGATGGATATTTTAATGTCCTCTGCTCCGATCATCTGTCTGTCCAAATATTTAGAATATCAAATTATAGGTAAAATTAAAGGACCCTATTAAAACATGGCTCTGAGTTTTTTTCTTGATAGAACAGCAATATATTTAAGTGCCTTGCTGCTGAGAGTTAGACAAGATGTTTGACACCATACAAAATACAGCCAGCCGCTGGTTATCATAGCTTAGCATTAGCATTAATTAACATAATAGTCCCATATAAACACCTTCCTCTAAAAACTTGTTTACAGATGTCTGTTCTGATCTGTTCATATTTTCAGTTTTATATCTGGATGATAAAAGGAATGCAGCTTTCAGACCCAGTTTGAATTTGAAACTTTTTTTTATTATCATAATTCCCTTAGTTAACATTGGAAAAAAATGAGGTACTGTGTCTAAGTGACAAACAAAAATGATACTTGGAATCATGAGAAGAGAACATTTTTGTTGCATGTTACCTAAAACAAAAAAAGGACACAACAGCTTCTTCCATTACCCTATCGAGCATTATGCTGGGACAATCAGCTGTATTATTATGTTCCCATCTGAGGAGTGTAGATGGTTTTCAAGAACAGAACCCTGACAGCATTGAGTGCAGTCCCTCGAGCAACATGTGGCAACAGCTGGCTGTTAGCTGATGCCACTGACCTGCTGAGATACCTACGAGACGCGAAACACTTTGAGACTGTCGTGCTGAGACAGATAGATGAAAACAATGTTGTAGAAATGCAAACTAACTACACAAACTACCAGAAGATTCCACTGCATTGATTTCACCTAACAAAAGTCACAAAGGATCAAAAACGACAGTTAGGAGCGCCTGCACTAAACACACTTTCAAAGTTCCCATAAAGCAAAGCAACTTTTAAATATCCTTCATTCCACCAATGAATTTTAACCACCAGTACTTCAATATTTCAGTCTTATGCTCATGAAAGGTGTCCTGTCAAAACAGATTGAGATTAAATAAATCAGTCAAATGTTCAAACACAACAAAACATGAGGAAACAGACACTCAGCACCTTTTTAACCAAGCAAGAAAGCTTTCAGATCTGCATTCACGTTTTTAACCTTACATGCTTTTTTCAAGGAAGGCAGGGACAACAATACAGAGGGTTTGATAAGCTACACATTTACACTAAAGACTACTTCATCCAATAAAGGGAGATAAAAAGCCACACTCCTGTAGCCATAGAATCGCTAGTAAGCTTCATAGGCCTCTGCTTCACATCTCCTCAGGGTTGTAACAGCACGGTGCTGAGACTCGACTGTCAGAAATGCTCATGAAATGTGAGAACAGGGGAAACGTGTGAGGGAGTCCAGAGGAGGGGTGCGCCTGGGGCACTAGTGTTTGTGTGGTGGTGTGCGTATGAGGACAGAACAGTGTGTAGTGATGTGGTTCTGGGCTTTTCTTCACTGATGGGTCTGACTTCTCCCCCTTATGCCTCCAGCTCGAAGCCCATGCCGACTTTGTGTCCACCGGCATTGAAGTTCTTCCCGTCGATCAGAGCGGAGAGGGTGACCTTCACGCCTGCAGGGACAAGTCCAGTTAAAGTCTTTGCACACATACCGTCTGCCCACTCAGACGTTAACTGTTTCCACCTCTACTCAGAACTATGTGAGTGTGGACTTCTCATTCTGATTGGTATTTTGAGTTTTGTGGATTGTTTTTAAATAGTTTAATTAAAGCTCCAGTGTGTAAGATTTAGGTGAAAGGGAATTATTGGCAGATATTTAATGTAGAATAATCCTCATGATGTTTTCACTAGTTCGTTTCATCTAAATTGTATGAATTGTAGTTTTCTTTACCCCAGAAAAGACCCTTTATATTTAAATACTTTATATTTACATCGAGGGGGTCCTCTCTACGGAGGCCACCATGTTTTTTACATTAGTCCAGACTGGACCAACTAAACACCTTTTGAGTTTTTATGAGAATTAAAGGCTACCACAGGTTATTTTTTCATGTTTGGAAGGAGAGGGTGAGGTGAGGAGTGTTCAGCTGCAACATGCAATTTCAACACTAGATATCACAAAATTCTACACATTGTAACTTTAATAAAATCAACATGACCTGGACCCTGAAGAGACGGAAAATATGGTTATGGATTAACGAATAAAAAAAACCGATGAATCCCTTTTTAGAAAATTATCAAACAGCCGCCAACAATACAAGATCCACCTCGACTACAATCACAGGGAATCAGGGATTTTCAACAGTCTGAAAACATTTATCCATTAATAATGAGAGTCACTGTCCATGGCAGCGACAGGGACATGTCCAAAAACACTTGAGACTAATGTGAAGGAAATTGAATATCTTGTCAGACCACCTAAGGTATTTCTTTCAAGACCTGCATCTCAGAAACAAACAAGCACCAAATGACGTGTTAAACCCATCTTGATGACAAAAAACAAAGCTGTGGCTCAGGAGGTACTCTTGTCTTAACTGGTGCTTCTATCACTATTATTATTTTCATTATCATAACCAGTCTGACAGAGCTTAAATATGATGCTTCAGGTCCCACCCTCTCTCTCTTTCTATTCTCTCCCCTCTTTTGTAACAGCCTCTCCTCTCTTCCTCATTTTTCTCCGCTCACCGGTTGAGGAAGAAGTCTAGTTTTACAGGTTCGCCCCTGTTAAAGGGGACCTTTTTCTCTCCGCTCTCCAGAAAATGTTGGGTTTCTCAATAATATTATATATATTACGTGCCTTGAGATAATGTATGTTGTGATTTGGCTGGATACAAATAAAATTGAATTGAAGATGGAATATTAATAGAAGTTAGACACGTATATGTCAATATGACTTGCTCACAATCAGTGATCACCTACAATCACAATCTAGTGCCAATAATCACCAACTGCAGTTGTTAAGGAAATAAAGCTGGTTATCATCTGTAGATTAACTGTCACAACATGCAGATGGTGTTTGTTGGTAGATAAAAGATTTGATTTTGTTCCATGTGTAAAATCGGTGGCACATGTGAGTAAATTCATTTATTTTGTCGTTCTCTGAGCTGAGGAGTTCTTAGTTTCAGAGAAGTAGTTCCTCTCATCAGCAAAAGCTCTGAAGAAGAAGGTCTAATGTGTAGTCATAAACACTGACTCCCAACACAATACGTAGGTGGGTGACAACAGCTTGGGCAGATATGGGCGAACCTACCTGGCCGAAGGCTCTGGGTGTAACCTACTCCGATCAGACTGGCATTGTTCACTTTGGCCTGCAGGGTGAAAAACAGTAAGACACTGTTGAAACAAACACCACCTTTTTTTGAGAATGTATCTCCATCAGTGCTGTCAATGAACTGCTGCTGCACTCACAGACAGAGAGGCGTCTTGGTCCAGCTTATATTTGGCAGCGATGCCGAAGCGAGTGTTGTTACTGCCGGCAGTCCAGGCCAGAGTTACCGCCGTCTCCAGCTCGTCGTTCACCTTCTGGTAGATGGAGCCGCCGAACTCGGTCCCGTCATTACTGAGAGAGAACACACAAGAAGTTCAGAGATGTTCATGCGCACGATTCGAGGCTGGATTACCAAGCGGGCATCAGTCGAGGAGCTCCTGATCTGCAGGGGTGAGGTTTGGCTCATTTGGGTCAACACCACTTAATTCATTTAAATACGCTGGAAATGTACAACAATGAAGTAAAATATCTGATCCACCGGAAAGAGACTGTTTCCAAATTTAGTCTGAAGACTTGTGTTAGTGAGATAGTTTATAGTGTGAAGTAATAAACACAAGAAAACTACTGTTAGGTGGTTTTATTCCATCATGGAAGAACTTAATGATTGTCATCACATAAGTCAATCTAAGAGTTATTTTCTTTATATAATCACTGGCCATCATTGTATAAAAGGGAGAATATAGAGGGACACTGTGCATCATATTGTTTGACCAATGATATCTCTTTCACTGTCATAGAAAACAGTGTAATGCAACTTAAAGCCTTTTGTTTGTTACCGTCTCTGTGCCTGGTTTATTGTCCACGCCTTTCAGATTCTTCCCGGGCCACAGGCAACAGATTTCAGCTGCTGAACATGAATAGGAGGCTGAACTTAGTTAATAAAAAATAAAAATCGCAGTACTCACACATTAGTGTGCAGCTGGAAGTCTCCAGCCCTGTACCCCAGGGCGAAGTTGTTCTGGGCCAGTTTGGACTTGGCCGTGTCGAAGGCCATCTGGTAGCCGGCCAGCCAGCCCTCGTAGCCCAGCACAGCTGCGGCGTGGATGATGGGACCCTCGAAGTCGACATCACAGCCCAGGTTGACGAAGTCACGCTTGTATCCTGTCTTCAGCTTCCCACTTTTCTTACTAAGAAACAGATTAATAAAGTTTAAAAGGTTGGAACGTTTCTAATCCTCTAATAATAAAGAATAAGTAGTGATGTGTATTTTATCCCGAGACCCACAACTGAATGTAACTTATGACTTAGTAATGTGTGTGAATCCAAAGTCTGGTGTATCTCCATTCTTGTTGAAAAACACAAAAACTCATCAGTGGGCATGTTTTATCATGAAAGTAAAACATGCCCCACACACACACACCCACACCCACACACACAACCACACACACACAATAGTACACTTTTGACTCACACTGACACCCCCTGCTGTCACAAATATTTAGACCAAATGTGGATTAATTCACCAACAAATGCACTTATTCCTCTCGTTAGGTTGATAAAAAGTACAGGGACAGTTAATTATTTATTTATTCAAGATTTACATTTTCAGTGGGAGCAGATGAGCTTGGGGCTGAGGCCACAAATGGAGTAGAAGGTGTTGAGAGAGAAACAAACAAGCATAATGTGGATTCTAAGTGATATGTTTACAATAATACAAATAAAGATTATTGTGAGTTTTATCCTTTAATGGACAATTACAAAGAATTTGGTTCAGATCAGGTTCGACAAAATTATATCAAAGAAAATAGAAATGTCGAAAAGAAGGGGAGTGATTGCTCCTTCTGAAGGGATTTAGAAAAGAGGATGTGATGTTTACATTTAATAATCTGGCAGATATGAAAATTATATTTTTAAAAAAAGGTGTTAATCACAAACAAAAATGTCAGAGACATGTCTGGTTTCTTGCCACTTGGACTTTCCAGTGACCAGGGTTGAGCCACACTTTATTCTCACTACACATAGTTCCACACTAACTCCCATGCAGCACTCGTCAATACAAATAAATGTATTCTTACCCTGTGTTTGGTACAAAAGATGTTTCCAAGGCAACCTTGAGTCCTTGAGTCAGCTGTGGGTAATGTTTGTGTCATGTTTATTTTTATTCAACCACATACTAGTGCAAAGCTCACTTTTTTTTTTTCCAGTTTAAAAGATCACATCTGAAGACTAAACACATACCTGGTCCTCTACAGTCACTTCAGTAGCCAGTGTGTTGTCTGTGTTCCACTTTTGGTTGAAGCTCAGGCCCAGCTCTTTCATCTTGTATTTGGTCTCCAGGCTCCCTGCAGCCTTCCCTGTGTCTGTGTTACTGGAGCCAGATGTGTTGAACTCCTGTCAGGAACACGAGGACGACACAGGTTTAGTGCAGCACATTCGATCACATCCAGCAAAGAAAAACTGTCTGACGTGAAAGTGTGAAGCAACAAACAGTTTAATAAATAGAAAAATCCCAAAACAAGTGAGAGAGACGGGGGGGCAGAGGGGAGACTTGTGTTGAACAGTTATTTGTGAAATGTACAGGAATAAAATGAGCAAAATCAGAAGACAACAGTCAAAGAGCGGACAGACAACTGTGAGAGCCTAAAGTCATGCAAGACGCCAGTACCACAAGATGGAAAGAAAAAAAGTGATGAATCTGAAGAAGGTTAAAATTGTGATTTGAAATATGAAACAACTAAATGGTCTGTATTCATAGAACTATTCCAGTCTTGATGACCATGACCATGCAGTATAGTTTTGCCTTTCACCCAGTCACACACACATTCATACAGTGCATCTATGTGCAGCACCTTCACAATCATACATCACTCACACACAGTCAGCACAGCTGTTAGAAAACACTTTGGCACGTAGAATGGCGGAGACTGGGATCAAGCTGCTGAACCCCTGGTTATTGGATGACCCGCTCTGCCTCCTGAGCTACAGCAGCCCTGAAGGCACCATCTTAAATTTCACAGTGACAAAGCCAGCGTGTGTGCTTAGAGAACAAAATAGTACATGTAAGTTGTGCGTTAATCTTCACAATTCTTTTTAGGGGCTGGAATTCATGTAGAAGCTTGACTGAAATATGGACCAGGTTAGTATCTGCTGATATCAGTTTCCAGATGCTGTATCAGCCAATAAGACGGAACAGAAACACCAAAGATTTTGATTCATTTGGGGCTTCTTTTAGCTTTACATCTGTTAGGTGTTACGGCTGTGTGTGTGTCTGTTTCTCTCTTGTCTCTCCTCCAGCTCCACCCTGATTAACTGATCAGTCATCAGTGAGGTGCACCTGGCCTGTGGATTGAGGTTCATTAAAACCTCCTGTGTCAGGAGCAGAGGCTTCCAGTGTGGGGACTGTTGGTTCTGATGGGCTTCAACCTGGGATTTTAACATGATGTGAGTATTGTGTCATTTGATGTTAATGAATCCCATGGTTCGGCTGTTTTAAAGGCTTTCTGTTGTTGATTCCTGTCAGTAATACATGTCGTTCGCCACATAATTGTGGGGCGTAACAATTGGGGGCTCGTCTGGGATAGAACATCCATGAGGTAAGTAAATGTTTGTCTCTAATGACCTTTGTTTAAGTGAAGGGGTCATCTCTTTTGCAGATCACTTTTGGTTTTTGCTTTGTGCAGAGCAGAGAAAAGGAGGATGATAACATTGAAGGTCTCAAGCAGAGTTGTTTTTCAATTGGTCAAAAACAAATCTCTAATTTCTCATTTTAAATTTTCTTTTAGAGTTACAATGAATAGTTGATTTGCTACTTGACATGAAAAATGATTCTACATTTGGGTCGATTTTAAAACAAAATGCAAAATAAATTACAAACTTTCAAATGTGACAATTGGCTGTTTTTAAAAAACTTAGTCACATCTGAGTAAGTCAGCTCAGGATTTTGTATCAAATATCTATAACTAATTTATGAAATTTAACCATTAACCTGTGATAAAACAATCAACATAAGTTGATAGAGGTGCTGTAAATAAAATTAACATAATATCAGAGCACCAATTATTGGCCGATGAACTGATAATGTTGCCCTTTACTACCTATGACTTAAAATAAACTGGCATGACAATAACAAAATGAAAATCACAAGACAGAACATGAAATGTAAATGATTATCACAAAGACTCAAAGAAAACAACAAATTGTGTGAATAAGCAGATGATGATGTGAGCAAACAGGACAGAGGACCAAACGGAGATGATCTCGTTCCATATCACACAGACAATTAGAGCCGGTGGGTCTGACAATCTTACCATCTACATTAGAGCACGAGCGGTCCAGTACAGAGAGGGCAGCAGCGTGGAGACAGAGCAGGGGTTAGGAAAGGCAGGTAGAGACAGACATCACTGTGAGCCAAAGCATGTTTCTGCATCAGTCAATCAACCGACCTAGACACCTTAAAGCTCCAGGTTAGAGCAGTTCAGTTGTAGCAAGATGAATTTGTATTGGTGTGGTGGGAGGCGAGAGTTGGAGATGGCAGAGTGAAAGCTGAGAGAAGGCAGGGGAGAGGGACTCTGCAGAAAGCAGCCATGACAAGATAAAAAAAAAAATAATGTACTCACCACTCCACTTTGTGATTTGGTCTTGAGATCCAGCTTCACGACACCAAAGCCTGGAGGATTTGAAAAGATAAAGTTGTGTGTTAACTGTAAATAAGTACAAGATAGATCAAAAATGAGACTATTTAAAGGAACGGTTTGATATTTTGGAAAAAAGTGAATTTGCTTTCACAGCAAGAGTTTGATGAGAGAATTGATACCACTGATTGTTGTAAGGATATAACAAATGAAGCGTCAGTATGAGAGCTTTAGACGTTTATATTCTTCAAAATACTGAAGTGTTCCCTTAATTAAGCATGTGCATCATCACATGGTTAGATTTGTTGTACAGATATATGGTTTGATATTCTAAATTTGTCAGATATCTGCTTATACATTAGTATTTAGTTAATATTAATCTGTGACTTAAATTCAAGGTGACATCTTCAGATTATTTGCTTTGTCTGACATAAGCAGCTGATTATCCCATTTAAGAAGCTGCAACAAGGTTATGTTTGAGATTTTTGCTTTTTATGACATAATTAACTGATTACCTATTAACCAAATAGATCCCAATTAGTTTTCTGATAACTACTTGTTACAGCTCTATTGCTATGCCTTAGATGTCTCTCTGTTTATTGGGCCCTTGTAGACAGTAATGCAAATCAATAAGTTAAATGTATTAATTACTTGGTAATTTACCCATTAATTATCACAGAATTGGTTTTAGTGTGCAGCAACATTTTTCAGTGATAGAACTTTTTAACCACGGTCATAAAAGCGGATAGCGCCAAATGATAATTATCTAAAGGCACTTTACATAGAAGGTCAAGACTTTAAAATGTATCTATATTGTCTGTGAAGTATCTCACAGCTGGTCCAACAAAAAATGAAATTTGAACAGAATTCCAATCAGTTAATAATTTAACACTGTTCTCACCATAGCCCTTGCTGAATATATCCTTGGCAGCTTTGCCCAGGTCTGAGTATGAAGGAGGGACAGCCATTGTGCTGGAAAAGATAAAGACAACACTGTGATTATTTAGTACCAACTGAACAAATCAAACAGCAGACTGAACAATGCATTCTTCACTTCTCTACGTGCAGGTTTCTGCAGTGTTCAACAAATACCACAGAGAACGCAATCTTTTTTTCGCAGGATGAGGGGAAAAAACCAGTGCAGACTGCAATTATTTATAAGAATATATCATTTATAAACATATTACATTTTATATGTATTTTTCAGATTACTAAAAACATAATTAACCAATTAACTTGAGCTTCCAGGTTTCTGTAGTAACAGTGTTGTGATGGTGCCGATATAAACTGCACAAAGGACGGAACAGCCCTTTTGCGTTGAAGCCAACCAAAATGTGTATGTTGTGAGGTCACAGTGACCTTGACCTTTTGACAATGAAATTCTTATCAGGTCATCCTTGAGTCCGAATGAACCTTTTTACTGATTAAAAACTTGGTTTCCTGATCCATTTAGTTCTTGAGAGTAAAACACGAAAACAGATGGACAACCCCAAAAAACTGTCATAAACATAATGTCTCCAGCTTCAACAGTCACAGGGGCTGATGCTTAAAAAGTAAAACTAATGTCAGTATTTGGAACAAGTAGAAAAAAGAAAAAAAAAGATTGTGCATTCAACATCCTCTGAGGCCTTTTGTTGAGGGAACTGAATCCAGTGCTAGTTCAGAATCTGCATACACCCTGTACACGGCTGCTGTAATGATTTAGCACTAAAAAAAGGCATTACTGATATTAATTATAGCACATCTGCCATTAAATAAAGACAGTAGATATCAGAAATAAATAGTACGGTCTGTGTGGTTTGTCGCTTGCCTATCATTTGATTGAGCAGTGAGCTGCAGCAGAAGAGGACAAGCTGTTCCTTTAGGGGGCAGCTGGGAAGTTCACAACAAATGAGCTCTGCAGCTAATGGTGCATCTAAGAAGTCCAGAGATAAAAATAGCCCGTGCATCTGCACAGATGTGCACTTTAATATATGAGAACAACATGATGCACGAGGCTGATGTTACAGCACCAGAACAAAGGCTCGGCTGGTGTCTTGTGGTCAACACGTCTCATGGTTGAGAGGGGGTAAAGGGCCCAGAAGATCACCCTGGTGCTGCACAGACACATTCGCACTGTTGTTACAGATGTTTTTAAGATGGAAGTCTAAAGAACAAGAGGGTTCTCTCTGCTCGCTGCATCTCTCGCAGGGACAAAGGACAACAGATGGGCCGGTGGAAGAGGTGTGTGAGTGGGGAGGGGGGTTGACAGCTAGCTGCTGCCTTAGCTAAGTTAATGTTCGCAGTAACAAGGCTGTGGCCCCTCTTCCTCCTCACAGACCCACTAGCTCGCCTCAAATCAAGCTGAGTGGCTAACTGCGTGACTGGCGTTACGGTTTGGACTCCACACTATCACCCACGGATTAAACTGTGCAGGCTAAACTTCATTACATAACACGGCTATCGTCGGCTAAATCTCCCAACCTGCTCCTAACATGCTAGTTGTAGCGGCTAACCTTGAGAAGACACGTTACGAAGAGACGTCTCAGCTGCACGAGCTCATTCTTACCGGTGTTAAGGTGTTCACAAGCGGGGTCTACACAGCCTGGAGCGTCCCTGACGTGATGCGGCTCCGCGGGGTTGACAGCTAGCCTAGCTTAGCTTCGCGCTGTGTGACGGGGACACAATGAAGGAGAATAGTGGCGCGTGCGCGGTGTCGCTGGGGGAAAAAAGGCGATCAAAGAGTCGATGCGAGAACAAGAGTGATCCTCCCGAGCATAAAATGCCTGCTTTGCGTGGTGGATCTAGGATTTAGCTAAATTCGTTGACGGACTCATTTGCATAATCCCCCGTCTTAGAAGTAGACATCTTTGAAATCCTATTAGCACATTTATAATGAATGAATGAATTCGCGAGTACAAGCAGGTCGAGTGTCATACCGCCCATCGTGAGCTGGTGTACTCCCTGCTTGTCTTTTATATTTCACCTTTACATGCAGCAAAGTGCAAATACTACTTTCAACAATGTGACAACTTTTATTAAACATATATAATAATAAATTAAGTTAATGTTCACAATAACAATAACTCACACATTTGCTTTGTTCATGATAAGATCGTTAGTTTGTCTCAGGATAAGGTCAACTTCACATTCCTATGTTCACTTAGTTGCTACTATACAGGCAACGTGATTATTATGACATAGCCAGGAGTGGGACTCGAACCTGCGACCGTGACAATCGCTATTAATGTACTAAACTAATATAGCGTGATTATGAAATGACTTTGACTGGATTGTGATGCCTCGCAAACATACAGCAACCTCTTGGATGAACTGTGCGGTGGCAGACACACACCTCCGAGCGAATCCCGATACACTTTACAGTCTTTGTGTCTTCAGCGCAGATTGTGCTAATTAGACTTCAGAGGCTCTACTTCACCTTCGTGTTGCATGATGGGAAATTATGCAAATGAGCCTCCTAATTGATTCGCTACACGCGGAAGAACAATATGCTGAGACCATACATATGGATCATACGTGTCACTGTCCCGTCTCTGATTGCTCCAAATCGCATGGCTCCAACTTTTAACTCCACAGCCACCATTCTTCTTTTTTTTTTGAATCACTTTATGTAATGTTCCTCCCGGCCACTGAGGAATTCGGCGCTGTAACCGCTTCACTGGATCTACAACTATTGTACACGTGGGAGTGGTTTGACTCCACAAAGGTAAGAGACAGTTTGACCAAAGAGCAGATCAATGATTTTTTATATTGAATGACACCAATCTCTGTGTTTTTCTCTCACAGTATCTGTATCTTATATCACTGGCATGTTATTATACCAGCATATCAATCCATGTGAGGACAAATAAAGTGTATTATTGTCTTTGGCCTCAGTCCCCTCCACAGTCCCCAGCAAGGTGAGTTGCTGCTCTCAACCCAGTTAATTTTCTGATATTCTTCATTACAGCAGCTAATTACCCGCTGGACAGTTCTCACAGCTCTCTCTTTCTTTAAGTGACTTTCTCGCAGATCCCACAGTTACCAGTTAGCGGTGGCTTCTAACGTTACACAGTGTGAGAAGTTTCACTCAACCGTTGATGTCCAACGTGATGACAGAGACACTGGGAAATGTACGTTTGTTTATTTGCTGCATTACATGTAGTTTTAAATGAGGTTTAAAATAGGGCAACCAAACTGGCCTAGTGGATAGACTGAACAAGATGTCATTTTTTAAAGGGAGACAGTTCATGAGCATCGGAGAAAGCATTAACTGAATTAACAGACATGAGCAAAGTTGAGAGCTTCTAAATGTCCATTATCAATACATTTTCAGTTAAATGCCCAGCCCCAATTGTATCCAGTGTCTTTTGATCTGAAATATTTGTCTGTCTCATCAGATTTAATGTAACAACTCATTACTTAAAGTTTGGCCCAGAGACTACTGCAGTCAGCGCAGCAAAACAGCACATACGCCTGTAACTCCATCTCAACAAACCAAAGGGATCTAATGATCCATCCGGTACTTAGAAAACAATGCGCCTCTCACGTCCGGTAATCATTTTATGATCTGTCAAATTCCCATAATGGACACCAGGGTGAGGATGTTGAGATTATAAAGATAAAGCTGATATAGTGAGTGTTTCAAATTGGACAAAGTACAGATGGATTCTATATATTTCGCAGGATTGTGAAGTGATGCAGATTGGAACAGATAAACTGCACTGTCAGTGTCAAGGCACATGCTGCTTTTGTGTGGTAAAGTAGCTTTAGATGCAGATGTGTCGCCTGCAAACAGGAATCAGAGCTCATCAAATAAAATGAATTCAGTGGTGATTCACAAAATAATGCAGCTCATATGCTGACATCTGCTGACCAGATTTATGAGTTGCAACACTTGCAAGACAAATTCAACGGTTCAGATGATCTTTATAGTGTTCATTCTCTGCTGTATAAATATTTACTGTTGCCTTGTGTTTCTCTGGCCAAACACAGCAATACTATAGAGATACGTATGTGCACTATTGAGAAAACATCAAGATGTTTTCTTATATCACAGAAGAAAGTGTTTGACTTTTCTTGTTGCTGCCTGAGGAAATTAAGCTTGTAGAGTCAGTGCCATCTTTTAAGTCCCCTCTTAAAATATACTTCGACCAGAAAGCCTTTCCTTTTATTTAACTTAATTATCTCATTAAAACAAGATAGATAAGACAAGATGTGCCTGCATTGATCGTGTGAAGAGGAAATTCACAATCGACACAGCAGCACAAGTGGAAAATATGTGGTTCTCTTTCCTGCCTAGCTCCCCCTGGCTTTTTGCAGTTTGAAGCAAGACGCAGGAGGCCGAGAGTCTCATCCGTGAGCTGCTGGAGCTTTTCATGGTCGTCACAGACACTCGGTCCTGGACCAAGAGCGCACGAGGAACATCTGGAGCACACAGACGTTACACATGTCCTGTATGCAGGTACGTCTGCTTTAGCTCTAACAGTATGAAGTTGGATTTTAAAGTTTCATCTTGTCAGAGAACTAGACTCTTACGTTCTGTTGACACCACAACCAGGATCCACCCGACTTCTCACTCTTCACCAAGACAGGCCAGGTGATCAAGGGTGAGTCATATCTCCCCGTCTACTGCTGTTGCAGAAGGACAGTGAGGGGTGTCTCGCACACACACTGGAACCTGGTTTTGAGGAATGCCATCCGTAATGCTCCCTCCCACCTGGCACTAACAACCAGGACAAGCATCCAGCTGTTTTCAGTGAATCAGAACATCCTCTCTCAGTGGTGAGACTCTTCTTCATTCACAGTTTATTCACAGATTCAGACGTTTATCAGCCCCTCTCTGCAGGAACAAATGCTTCACAACCAGCTGGAGCTGAAGCAGCCAGAAACTCAGAGGACTGGGCAGATGTGAAGATTTGGCCCCCCTCCTTCGTGATGTGAAGCCTCTGTGGGCAGCAAAAAATTAACGCACAGTCAGGAGTTGTTGTTGACTAAGATAGGGGTGCAGTCAGATTCAGCTGGGTCACCCCTGGATAAGCATGTTTTTCTAATTAGTTTGCAGCATTTAGAATTATAAAATACATTTTTGTTAATCTGGTACTTTCATGTACAATGTTACAAATTGCTTTTCAAAGAGTAAAAAGCACCAGGCAGGCAGATACAATGAGAATTAAACAATAGAACATGAGCAAAACTAAATAAATAAATAGGATTAGTAGACCATTACACTATTTTAAAAGCTTTCAGGAAAAAGAAAAGTTTTGAGAAAGGATTTAAAAGAAAGAGGAGACATGGGTGGTGAGTTTCATAATGTGGGGCTCTGAGAGCAGGGGCTTGCTCAACCTTTGTTTCCAGCTGTGACCTGGGAGTGACCTGCAGGGATCCATCTGCTGATCTCAATAAATCTGACAAATATTTGGCTGCAAAGCCATTCAGGGCTTTAAACATGAGCAATAAAATGAACATTTCTAGTTGTGCTGCATGTCTTTATTGAGTGTTTATCTCTTTGCTTGTGTTGGGAGTATTTTGGGTGGATTTGCTTGTGTTTTGTGTATTTTGGGTGGATTTGCTTGTGTTTTGTGTATTTGCACGTGTTTTCCTGACGTGCAGTGCGTTAAGCTTTCAGGGCCACCAAAGAAAAGGTTGATATCAATAAGGACTTGACTCCATCTGGCAGAAAAGGTGAGTCCAGAGGCATGGGAGGTAAATGTGCAGATCAAACTGGAGACAGCAGCGGGAGAGGACCATTAGTCCAACCTTCTTCAATTTATACATTGAATGAGTTTGCATATGTGAATGAGACAGAAATTAAGGTTCTCCTATACGCAGATGACTTAGTGTTGCAGTCACAAACAAAAGAGGGTCAACAACAGCAACACAAACATGAATTCTGTCAGACCTGCACCCTTACAATGAACCCAAAGAAAACAAAACATGATGTATCAGAAGCAGCTTTAAGTCAGGACAGCAAAGACATTATCTATTTCAACATCACTAAATTACAACATGCAAGAAAATTGAAAAACTGCAACTTGGCCGTGAAAGAAATGTACACAGGAAATATCCACAGGAAATGTACAGTCAGTTAGTGATTTGAATTGTGGGAGGAAACCGGCCTCAACATGGGGACACGTACAACATTCTGCCATATTATTAAAGCCACATGGTGCAAATATACAGTTAGGATCACAATTCCATTCAAATATGTTGCTTGATTCACCTACATGGAAAAGCAGATTCAGATCCAGAGTCATCTTACTCTGTTGTGACAGTGCTAACAGCTGCAGCGCTGTGCTTCCCATGGCATCTTCAATCAGGTGATGTTTGCCTTCACTCAGTAACATCTGCTCTGAAGCAATGTGAAGTCTTGGTCAGCCACGAGAAGAATCACTGACCCCTGATCAAATATTTTGACTTTAATAAAAACCTGTGCTAGCGTTGTCCCTATCAGAATCATGAAAAGCATAGGACGGTAAAGTCCCTGCAGCAGTGCTGTTTTCTACGTTAGCGTCAGGGATCCTTATCTTTACAATGACCATTTGTGTTGTGCTTGGATTCATCAGCTGATTCCTCCAGGTGGCATCATTTTACTGTCAAACAGACTCGTCAGGATTGGAGTTCGCGTCATTGGATATATACACTGTATAATGGTAATATAAAGATGCCACAGAGCTTCACTGAGGGTGTATTTTGTTTTTCAGCAGTTGTTTAAGAGTGCTTAAAATCCCTGTCTCCTCATAATCAATGGGCTGAATCTTTGTGCCAAGGCACAGTTAGGAGAAAATAACAGCAACACCAACCAGTTCATTTTGGGGGCTGTAGCTGACGATTTATCCACTTTATGTTGTCTGGCTTGATTCCTGAATGCACTAGCTACAGTCTTGAGAGCTGTCTGAGTCATGCGGTTTCTATTGTGTAATTCCATGATTCTCAGAAGGATGCAGTGGGCCACAACGCCTCGCTATTAAATCATCAAAAGAAAGCTTTTAAAATACCTGACATTTCATAAGTGCTCTGTGTTTTAAAAGAATGAAATCTCTTTTCTACCAAGTCAGACCTTCTTGTTTTATCCAGGCATAACAGGCTTCTCCTTGGTGTCTAATCGTACGCACTGGATCACTGTTCCAATATCCCCCTTCTGCCCAAGCATGTTGATTGTATATCCACTTAATTCATCAGGCAGAACATAAATGTCCTCTATCTTGAATTTGCCCTGTGAGGCAAATTTTAAGTTGTGAATAGGGGTTAGAAAAATAAAATGTGATTGATTGAGTCCAACCATCAACTGGCCAGCAGGGGGAAAAAGAACACAGGGTAACTTTCAATAACATTATCTGAATGTGTGGATATAAACACGTTATGAGATCAGTCAGTCAAGATAATGGACTTTGGGTTTTGTTTTGTGCAGTCCAGTGGTATGTGTGTGTCTGCTCTGTCCCCATGTTGAGTGCTGCTCCTGGCTGGGCCTGGTTCCTGGTTTTCAGTATCACCCGCCAACGCTGCTGCACAACTGCAACCAATCATTCTTCTTTTCATCAAGTCTCAGCAAATTAAATGAACCAGTTCATTCTGCCAGAACATCAATTAACTTGGTAGTAACGTTTCACCCGGAATCTTTCAGAACCAGTCTAGCTTGTCAGGATCAGCTTGTTTATTGTCTACAAGCCACACTCAGCCAAAAAACCTTGCAGCCTAATATCTAAAAACTGAAGTGTCCCTCACTTTGTAATGATGTGATCCATCATTATGATATCAATTCTCTTGCAAAAACATTTTTCAATAAAGAGGCTGACTTTGATTAACTGCAACGTGTTCACCCAAAACTATTTTCCCAGAAACGAGATGTCATGTCTGTACTAAAATCACTACATTTGTATTTTGATCATGGATTGTACTTCCACTGCCAGCAACTCATCCCTTGTGCAGATTACTTCCATCAGGCTGCTGGCAGTTAGGAGTCACAGGATCATGTATGCTGACAATTCAACATGGCTCAGTGGAGGAGTTTTTATGACGAGGCAGTGCACCAACCATGATATCCAGTGTTGTTCTCACTGCATGAGGGGCAGTGGGAAGGTTAAAATGAGAGTGTATTTTGTTTGTGGCCAGGAGCTGCTGATGATCACAAGACAGGGCCAGAAATGCTTTACATAGCTAATTGATTGGCCCACACCAACATTAGCTCTACATTTGAGAACACTGCAAACTGCTTCTCTGCCTCACAGAATCCAACATGTGTGCCAGCTTTTGGTAAAGATGCAATCTGGTTCTGGATTCCTGGATATGGACGGCTGTCAAAGTGAGCATAGAAGTAACTGGATCCAAAGCATGTAAAACCAATGCATTGGCAGGTTTGTTTACCTCAAGGAGATCAAGTTCTTTGGGAAAGCTGATGAGTTATGCTTGGCTGTCAGCCATTGTGTAGCCATCCTCTGCAGCTTGAAATGGTCATAGCCATCCTTGTGGACAATCCATCCGAATCATAAAACTTTTCTTGTCTTTTGAGCTATTTAATTCATAAGGGAGATCTTATAATTGGACCATTATCTATATTTCCTTAAGTTAAAGAACCTAAGAATAATCAGCAAATTGTACCAATATTCGACAACTGCTTTTATTGGAGCTAAAGCAGTTTAGTCGATTATTTAGTCTCTAATGGTTAATGTAGAAGGTGGGCCCCTCAAAGGGTCTCTGAGAAGATGGGACATGAGCTAACTAAGGTGGAGAGGTGAGGTTGAAGTTGTTAGGAGAAGTTCTGATACACACATTTTGATAAATGTTTCAGCCTTAAATATGTGAGTCTCACTTCTCTGGGCTTCAAATAAATTGTTTTAAAGGAGAAATTTCTCTATGATGGAACAACTAAATACCTTAAATAGTGTCAAGGAACCTCAAAGAGATTTATTAAGTGGTCCCAAGTCAAAATGACTCTGACACTGGTTTAATCATAATTCAAACTCATATGTTTTTATGTAAAATTTCAATCTTAAAAGTACAGTGTGTAGAATTCAGTGAAATCTAGTAGTTAAGTTGCACGTTGCAGCGGAACACCCCTCGTCTCACCCTCCTCTTCCAAACATGAAAAAGAACCTGTGGCAGCTTCAGTTGTCATAAAAACTCAAAAGGTGTTTAGTTTGTCCAGTCTGGACTAATGTAAAAAACATGGTGGCCTCCGTAGAGAGGGTCCCCTCAATGTAAATATAAAGAATTTAAATATAAAGGGTCTTTTCTGGGGTAAAGAAAACTACAATTCATACAATTTAGATCAAACGAACTAGGGAAAACATGAGAATTATTAAATTTAATTTCTGCCAATAGTTCCCTTTCACCTAAATCTTACACACTGGACCTTTAAGTTGTAATATAATTATGGTTGAGTACAAACAATGGGCCAAATACTTGCATCTGAAATAAAGTGAAAGTAGAAAGTAGCATGAAGTAAATTTTTCATTGTATGTACTCTGTCAGTGCAGTGGAGAGGGGTCCCACAGAACACGTGTTGCATTTAAAGGGTGCAGGAGCTTTTCAACGAGCAGAGTCGCCGGTCCTCCTTAAATGTTAGTGACAAACATGGCGCTCTCTGTGTTGGGCTGCGGCGGGGGGGGGGGGTTGCGCTCAGCTCCGCCCTGAATGAACACTGACTCGACGCTATCAGCCTGTGTGTGTGTGTGTATGTGTGTGTGTGTTTGCACTGTGATGATAACTTGACTGTCAAAAGTACATTTAACAACAGAGCAGCGCTGAGGGTCCAATGGTCAGCGCCGCCTGTTTGCTCGCTGAGTGTCCGCGTCGAGGCGCCTGCACGCGGACTGCACGACAAGCGCTTGAAGGCTGAGCGGGTCCGTGCACATCCGTGTTGACAACAAAAGTTTGGCCAGCGTTTAGCAGTCATGTCCGGACAACCAGGCTTCGTGAGCCCGTTCCACAGACCCCGGTGTTTGGCGGCTGCAGCTCCGGCGAGTAAAGCCAAGTTCACCCACCCTGGAAAAGCTATCCTGGCAGGTAACAAAGTTTCTGTGTGTGTTTGTCTCGCAGGAGCAGCTGTTAAACTTTGTGCCTCCACATGCAAAAGGCTGAAATGTGTGCGTACAGATGTGATCACAGGCCTCAGCTGCAGCTCTGTGTTTCTCTGATTTGAAAAGCATCGGAGAGGAATGTGCACAGCAGGCAGGAGAGATAAAGGGCGAAGCCTAAACGACAGAGAAATGCAGTTCACCCTGATGTCTGAAAGGCAGGGCGTCTGCAGGGCTGCAAGGGTGTTTCGGAGATTTCCGTGTCCTTTCAATGTTTACAACTTCACTTTCAAAAGTTAAAAACATTCATGACTAATCTGATGTCGTGTTTGTATGTGTTTTTAGAACATAGCAGTCTGAAAGGTCCAGTACCAGACACCTCTTATATTATGCTATGTTCGTACATTTAATATATGAATATTACATTCATTTCTATACTATCTCGATACTTAACTCTATTTTCCTATACATCCAGGTTCAGTTAATCTCTTTAATGATTATTTAATTCCATTTTTTGGAATTGTTGTAAATGTGATATAAATAAATGAAGGCACTATAGGCAAATGATTCTAAATATCCATATTCCTCCATATCATTGATATATTGCACACTTTGGTGGGTATAATAGTGAAAAGGGGATTTAACTGCATTCTATGTGTTTAACTAAGTTAACTTGGAAACTTCAACAAAGTCGTATTGCACCACAGATAATATTTTAATTGTATACCAGATTCCTGAATGAACAACATGTGTCTTCATCCATTGGTCCTGCTAAACCTGCCAGGACAAACTTTAGTAAACTTTAGTTTGTGACTGGAGGGCGGACGGTCTGGTAGCTCCTGGAACTTGTAGACTTTAGCACAGAGCCTTTTCAAAGAAACCTGATAAAAATGAACTCTGATTGGCGGCCTGTCTCATTAGTCAATCAGTGACAGAGCTCAGTATGTACTGCAGGACAATCATTATTTATAATATTACAACACCATTAGGAAACGTGAGAAAGGGCTGAAACTATGGCTGAATCTACGACGTTTTCATTCTTGAACATTGAACAAAAAAAACGTGTTCACTGTACTTTTACATATATCGCTGTCAGCAGTTGGTTTTTAATTGACCTCATGCCCTCACAGTTTGTGCTCAGAGGCCCAGGTCATGAATCCTGAGCCACAATGACAAAGCACATTGCTCCGTCAGCCCCTGCACTCGTTCACCTGGGTAACAACATGCCTGTGACAAGCTCAGCTCCGGAGAGTTTGCAAACAGAAAAATTCAAGATGATTTCCCAAGCTGTCTCTCGTGTAATGATACAGTATGTGTGTTCAGCCTGAAATGCAAACCCCAATCTTGTGAAAAAATAACTACAGCTCTCTGTGGTTGCAGTGTGAGCTAACAGGGTGACATGGCAGCTACGAGCAAGTCACAAGAGAGTAGCTGGATCACATGCTAAAGCTTAATGACACCACCAATCCCCACAGAAACACAGCTATTATGGTGGGAGTAAACTCTGGAGTCATCTTTATTTACAGTACAGGTTGTCTTTGTTTTTGTTGTACACATGAATGTTTCACAATCTACAAAGCAATTCATTGGAAAGAAAATATGATCATTTGCTCTTTGGGATCATTTTAGATGTGAAAATTAGTTGGGGAGTAAATGTTAGCTTAGCTGAGCATTAAGACTGGAAACAGGGGGAAACAACTAGCCTGTCTGAAGCAAAGTAACGAGAATGTGTCCCAAAATGCCATGAGAGAAACTGCGTGAAATCAAGCTTGTGGGGAAATTACAGGATTTATTTCGTCCATAGCAATTGCAAGTATAATTTCACCCAATTTCATTTCACTTCTTTTTCATTTCAGAGCATAAATGAAAGGTTATTACATGGCAGGCGTGGGCTCTGTTGTGGTTGTTTGTAAGTTAAATGTAAAAAAGTACATGTTTGATAAAGTTGTGTCAAACACGGGTCTTTCTCATTGTAAACAATTGACCTGCATTTATGTGGTGACAGAATAATCGTAAAACTTTCAGACTTGAAAAATTCATGCAAAAGCCACTTCAAGTTGCAACAAAAACTCAGGAAGTCTTTTGGGAGTTGTCAACATCATATAGCAGGAACATGTCGGGCAAAAATAAGTGAATGGTTGGTGGTAAGAAATGGTTTTAAGTTGGCATTAGGTTGTGACATGCAGAGTGACCTACAGGAGTTAGAAAAGTGATTTATTAGCAGTAACCCTGACTATAAAGCAGTTTTCAGACATGACCTGTGGATAAAGTCCAGAGAACTGGGTCCAACAAATCCTCTGCATTATTCAGGCAAGAGGCGGTGCAACAGGCAGAGACAGGAGGTAACTTATTAACGTTAGGAGCATGTTAATATGCCATTAGACTCATCGCTGCAGGAAAAGTGCAGTAGGAACCATGACCTACCTTTGTGTCTTAAAAAAAGACAGTAGAAAAAAACCAATCCGTCTTTCCAAATTCTCTCTTAAAATACCTGTTCAACTGTCCCTACATGTTGGACTTGTTAAACTGGTTCTATATCTTTTTCCAGAACACGTGGACGTAATGCAGGTACTTCTTGGAGGCATGTTTGCACATAATGATGGTGTGAACTGTGTTTTTGATCCAGGTTTAATTCGTAACCACAGCTGTGAACCCGGTCTCTAACCAATCGAAAGCTGGGGTGTGTCATAACCAGCACTGTTAGGACCTCGGTTGAGCCGTCCAGCCTGTAATCTTGAGCTTGCACGTGCACGACCAGCCTGACTTGCATGTCCGAAATGTAGTCTGGAAACCAGGGTTGTGTTGGATTTCTCTGCATGACATTGTTTAGTGGACAGAGTGCATGTGAAAGACATCAACAGCGTGTGAGAATGAATTCAGGCTTGTATACATGTTAAAAACGTAACCATCTACAGTGTTTTACCACTTCTGCATAAATGCATGTTCTTTTAAACACCAACTTGTTAGTCAGGGCCAGTATAAGCATAGCCCAGTTCATTGAATGCTGTCTTTTAGATGGGCCATAAGGACGATTTGAGACACTTTTTCAAGGAAAGCTAATGTCCCCCTCCCCGTGCCCTCTTTACACCACCCATCCGAGGGATCACACCATCATCTTATGGCTGCTGTGTGTGGTTGTAGTGTTATATGGTGAACACTATGTTCTCTGGAGCCTACACACCCCCTTGAGTTGAGTCGAGTCAGGGCTGAGGGGAGTTTCTGTGGGCACAATCACGCTGAGATCAGCCGAGCCAATCAGCTGCAGGGATGAGAGCTCGCTGTTGAACGGCAGATGTGTGACAGCCAGGATTTTAAGGTGGAACTGGTGTATATATGTGCTGTAGCTACTAATGTGCCCCTCGCTGACATCAACTTCAACTTTGTCTTACTGCACCCACCAGTTTATGTATTAAGTTAATTTTTTTATTTTATTTAATCAAATTTTAGCTTTTTAAAGATTTCTTGCAACAGAAAAGTTGTATTGGCTCTTTCATATAAAAAACAGTAATTAATAGTGAATTAGTAAATCATACTTTCACTTGGGAGAAAAGTCTAATAGTATATAATTATATAATGGGAACACAGCATCACTGAATATTAGCTAGTGGTGATAGTGAATATTATTCAAATAAATAGCACAATATATATACGTATATATTAAACAGTTAGTATAGCTGTTTTGCAGTGGTTCCGAGTGTTGATGCAGTTTTCACATGCTTGCTTGTGCAGGTTTTCTATGTTTCCTAACTCTTTTTTGTTGAAACCGATCTGTGCTGAATGTTCTCTTTGCTGTTATTTCAGGTGGGATTGCAGGAGGCATCGAGATCTGCATCACCTTCCCAACAGAGTACGTTAAAACACAACTGCAGCTGGACGAAAAGGCAAATCCTCCCAAATATAAAGGCATCGGTGAGTTTACGTTTGTCAATAGAACTAGTTGACTAGATTTGAAGAAGATTTGATTTCATCCCTATTACTGCATATGATGGTAATATTGGTGATTTTAGAATAGGAAAAATATAACACTATAGGATACCACAGAACGCTACCAGAATGTCTTCATATCTTGTTAATCTGTAGATTACCTTCATGGGGACAAAATATCCTTAAAGGCAAAAAAACCCCAAAACATGATGGCTTTCTTGAGTAGAGTTGGATGAGAATATGATATCAGTCTTATACCTGTTTGTGAGATAAAGCCAAGAGAAAGTTAGCTTGTACTGCCTTCAATGTGGGAATGCCCCCCTTTTGTGGTATATACACAATCAAGGAATTTTGGAGTTCAAGAGTACAATAGATATAACCCCCACATTTTTATCCTCTAACATTATGCCTTTGCATTTCCTGTTTTACACAGTGTGTACACAACTCCTCACATAGTAACCACAAGCTCACAAGTTCCATTTGAAGGCAGCATTAGAATAAAGACAAGAAGTCAGGCAAACAGTGAGACACAACAATCTAGCAGCATCTTTAATTTCTTGAAAAAAAGAAAATTAAAAAGCTTTAATGTGTGGTTTTATGAGTTGTCATGTGGTGGACTACCTCTAAGCACGCGAGTAACTGTGTGGAGTATCTGCTGGAGGCCCTGTAACCTCATGGACCTCATGGACCTGAACTGTACAAGGCTTGCTGTTTCCACATGCTTTCAGCCTTTATGCTATGCTATGCTAGGCTCACCAGTAACAAACAGATCCCAGAAGTGAATCAGTCTTCTCATCTAGTCATCACAACAACTCATCTAAGTGATGTCCACACACATGCTTACTTATTTCATACATAAGACCAAAAACTATGATGGGATTCCCTAATAGAATGCACATGTTAATATTTATTTTTAATTCATTGAATATAGAGCTATGTGTTACAGCTGTTATTTTTGTTACTTTACAACATCACCCTGAAACCAATCTATCATTAGGTACATGAGATACACAGAATCATTTTTACATGATTAGTAAGTTTACACATTGTGTTACTGCAGTTCTGAGAGCAAACGTGAATGAACACATGTGTATTTGTCTCGTAAGCTGGTGTTGATCTGTTCGATAAGAGCTTGTGAACTTTGGCACACACCATATTTGTCTGTGGAGACTCAGTATGAAGGACTCGTTTCAGACTCCAGTAGATACATATTGGAATCAGAAATTCACTACTCTAACCTTTAGAAAATTTACTGTTATAGTAGGATTATTTGAACAATGCAGCTAATGATTATATTCACTGTGTGTTCTTTTCTTGGCAGTAGCGCAGGAGTGTTGATATCCATGCTGAAATGAGTGTTTTGGTCTTTGTAGCTTATCCTTGTCTCTTTTTCATCTCACCTCTTTCGTTTATTTCCTGTCTCCCTTGTCCTCACAGGGGACTGTGTGAAGCAGACGGTGAACGGTCATGGGGTGAGGGGTCTGTACAGAGGTCTAAGCTCTCTGCTGTATGGCTCTATACCTAAAGCAGCTGTAAGGTACTGCAACCACACAACCTTACACACATGTGCAGGCACAAACCAACACCTCATAAGGAGATCAGCCATGCCTTATATAAATAATGTACTTCCATTATACCTCCATTATGACATCCAGTGTGGATGCTAGATATGCAAAGAATAATTTATTACATTTACACAACTTTGGAACAAATCATCCTGAAACATTTTCAAGAGCAGAGATTGACAGAAAATTGACCCGCAACAATTTTCATAGTTGATAAATTGTTTTCTGTTTTTCATTTTCTTGCTCGAGCTTCTGAAATGAAAAGAACTGCTACTTTTCTCTATTATATCACCTTATTTTGACCTTGTTTATATTTTGGACTGTCACAGCTTTGACAATTTTCTAAGCACAGTTTATTTAAGAAATTAGACAGATTAGTTGTTGATAAACTGTTTTTTGAAAGTATTTGCTAATTGCAGGGACACTTAATAATTTGTATTCAAATTATTAAGTGCTTGATAAGATATTTACTGGTGATTTTGAGAATCCTTACAATTCATTAATAATCATTTGCATTCATTATAAGTTAACCTGTAGATTATGACATCAGCCCATTACTTGAAGAAAATAAAATGTAGTCAGCTGATCAACTAATAATTTCAGCTCTAATGGCAATTTTATAATGGCAAAATTAATAAATGCTAATGCTTTCAGATAATTTATCCAGTCTGCAGTTGTGCATGTTTATTTCAACAATCCAGCCAATTTTCACATCCTGGTAACACAAAAGTTAGTCTCACTAATGTCTTATGTCGGATCTAAAATGAAATAATGAAATGCTTTAATAAAGCTACGACAAATTATAGATTCTTTATTAAGAGTATGCTGTTAGAAGCTGGTACATTTTATTTTTTACTTTTGATTATTAATCATGTTTATATTGTTTATTATTTTCTACAGATTTGGGGTGTTTGAGTTCCTTAGTAATAAGATGCGTGATGAGAGCGGCAAACTAGACAGCAAGCGAGGATTCCTCTGTGGCCTTGGAGCTGGAGTTGCAGAAGCCGTGCTCGTCGTCTGTCCCATGGAGACAGTTAAGGTAAAAGAAAACAACATATATCAGATGTGGATTTGAACATTTCTAATAGCATATACAGTATATGCATTTAGAAGCTGGCAAGTTACAGGTTTTAAGAGCCATCAGTTTTTTTCTGCTCTGAATTTTTTCCTTTCAGAATTATTTTATCACTTTTCTGGTGTCATTTTAGGTCAAATTCATCCATGACCAGACATCAGCCAACCCAAAGTACAAGGGATTCTTCCATGGGGTGAGAGAGATCATTCGAACCCAAGGTGAGGAAGGCTTTTCTTATTTTGTCAGTTGCATTATACTGCCACCTACTGTTCTTTTTCCATTGCATCATGGTTTTACAGGAATAAAGGAAATAACTTGTCAAGTTCTTTGAGTCATCGCCACCATTATTTAAAGAATGATACTGTACTTTTCCTCAGCCTCATTACATCTGAAAAGTCCTTCACTTTAAGCACTGGTGACTGACAGTAAAAATAGATATGCATTCTATAGAGCACTGATAGTACTGATGTATCTACAGGACTGAAGGGGACCTATCAGGGCCTAACAGCCACTGTACTGAAGCAAGGCTCCAACCAGGCCATTCGCTTCTATGTCATGACTTCCCTGAGGAACTGGTACAAAGGTGAGTGAGTGAATAAATTGTTCCTCATCTTCATAATCAACACATACAACCGAATGATGTAATCAAAGAATAATATTTTATTTTTCATTAACTCCAAAGGGGATGACCCCAACAAAGCCATTAACCCTTTGATAACTGGATCGTTCGGAGCAGTCGCTGGTGCTGCCAGCGTGTTTGGAAACACTCCCCTGGATGTCATCAAAACCAGAATGCAGGTTGGTTGAAGAACACATTCACTTCCCATAATCTCAAAGTTCTAACGTGTGCGTAGCGACTAACGTATGTATGTGCATCTATCAACAGGGACTTGAAGCTCACAAGTACAAAAGCACAATGGACTGTGCCACCAAGATCATGAAGCATGAGGGACCAATGGCGTAAGTTCACATGGATATTATGTATAGAGACGTACAGTTTGCATGTTGAGTTTTGGCTGCGTTTATGTAATTCGCAGTGATTTTCCGATGCCTCAGGAAACACCCTGATAATAATTCACTGATAATAATTCATTCGGTAATTTGGATTTGACCTTATACTATAAACTAATACTGAAGAAGCCTCTTTGATGAGACGTGAAAACTCAACCAAGTCCAGTTGACCTGCACTAGTATACACACTCTTTACACACTGATAATCCAGCAGTAATTTGAACTCTGTGTAACTAGAGAACCAGAATGTAACTGCATTTATTCTGAACAGTATGAATCAAAGGAGTAATTCATACATTTTGGGAAATACACTGATTTGATCTCTTTCTGAGAGTTAGATGAGAAGCTCAGACAATTAAATCCCAGCTCAAACTACAGGAAGTTCATATTTTGAAATATTTTTATCAAAACAGTAAAATCTGCTGCTCAGTACCTACCTTATTGTATTTTTTTTTGTTATTACTAACTAATATATACCTAGAAGTAAGTATATGTAAGCTCATCAATACCAGAATCTGACAGTAGCAAGATACTGAAGATTGAATGTTATTACGTTTCGTGTATTCACTCTCTCTGTGTGTATTCTGTTCAGGTTCTACAAAGGCACCGTCCCTCGGCTTGGTCGGGTGTGCATGGATGTGGCCATAGTCTTCATAATCTATGAGGAAGTCGTAAAGTTCCTGAACGTTGTTTGGAAGACGGACTGAAACGTACATCCTGCTACAAAAGCAGAAGTGTTAGGACAGGCCGTCCACATTATCAACCAGGCCGAGTCCCAAAGCATTCTCCTTTAACACTGCTTCTAGGTTCTAATGTCTACCTCCGAGTGATTTTCAGAAAGAAAGGGATTGATGTATTCTTGATTTTATTTATAACACAGTTAAGTGGAAGCATCATCTGCATGAAATAAGCTCCAGATTGCAGAATCACCACTCACACTTCTTCATTTCTTTTAAATTTCAGAAGGGTAAAGTTCCTTAAGAGCTCAGGGAAAGCAACGGGGCATTTATTTAGATCTGCTTGACTAGAGAAAAAGGTTAATGGGAACAAAAAAAGAAGTCTCTCAAGTTAACTACAGTTCTTGGAATTCAGTTTATCACAAAGAACATTACACGACCTGACATAATGTGATTCAGACACTATCGACAAAGAAATTATACTTGAAAATGAGATATTATACCAGAGATATAGATAGAGATAAAGCCCTCTTTATACGCAAGTATTTAGATTTTTCCTGTTTTTAAAAGGCTTTTCAAAACCACAGTTTCGTTCAAACGCTGATCTGAATAATTCATCTCCAGATATCACTGCTGCAGAGGTTAAGGTACTTTAAGAACTAAATGCCTTAAATCACAGTTTTTAACATTGTAGGATCCAGAAAGATGCCGTTTTAATATTGCATATACTTAACATTTAGAAATGCACATTTTCCACAGAACAGCCGTTGAGGTGGTGTAAAGACGTGGTTCACTTTGAAGTTGCAGAAATATTTGAATTAATTAACTTACTAGACTGATAAGTGCCTATGTATTTTATGATTCATTTTGAGATCTTTTCAGATTAAGAATGATTAAATGTTGTATGTACATAGTCACTAGATATTTTTAATGAATGTACTCAAGTGCAAACACTGCGCTGGGGCCAAATGTTTCATTCGAGGCAGCATCTGAGGTATGGTATATCTGAGATGTTAATGTTGTCTCGATTCACCGTAACTGCTAATATGAATTCATGCTTCTAAATTCAAATAGCCTTTAGTACATGGAGATGCCTGTTTGAGGAATTCTATTAATAGTGCCTTCCAAGATTTTTTCAGACTTTTTTTCGCTTTTCGATATTAATTGCCTTTATCTTTTTCATTAACTGACAACCCAATGTGCCAACTGCTGCTCAGAAGCCATGTTAAAGACTGGAGCTTGTGAGTCTGGCATGTTTACATGCAGTGCAATTAATTTTATTAATTTTTTTTGCTCATCATACGGTCTTTATTTAGGATACACAATGTTTACTTTGAGGTACTATTTCAGCTTCATGTTAAACCTGCCTTATGTCACAGATATTTAAACATCTTTGGTATTTTCATATTATTTCCATGTGAAATATTTCCTGTAGCTGAACCCGGTCTTGTGCCTTCAGTCTAATCAATTCTGATATGTATGCTCACAAATAAACATTGGATCTGACTGTTGAATTTGTTGTGTTAATTTCAGCAGTGGTATGAAGTAACTGAATACATTTATTCAAGAACTATACAGAAGTACACATTTGTGGTATTTGTTCTTTTAGTATTTTCCCTCTACATTTCCAATGGCTGTAATGTTTTTGCTCCACAACACTTTCTCAACTACTAGAATAACTTGTTACTTGATTTGAGTTTTTTCAAAATGGAAGTGAGAATATGATGCTGTGTAGTTTATCAAATTTTTTATATACAAGTAAACCACATTAATTATTATTTTGTGTTAATACTAATCTTAATAAGGTGATAAACTTACAGCTCAGTATAAAAGTCACTTTAAGGAGAAACTCTTAAGTGATCAGATATAGATTAATCTACCAATTCTACTAAAGAAATCCTAGAATTTATTCAGTAGTATGTTATATTGCTAGAATATTTATAATTAAATATATAAAGATTCATTGTATTTGGGTGAAATCGGTGCATAATACAAATTTAATTTAATACATTTACAAAATGTATATGGATGAATAAAAGGAAATTGTAAAAGAGGTGTATCAGGGATGTAATAATATCCTTAATGACAATGTGCTGACAGTGAATTTGCTTAGACGGTGGCTGTAGATCAATTGCAGATTTATTCTTGATGCAAACAAAGAGAAAAGATGAAATGGTGTAAACTTTGTAGAAATGCAAAGAATTTATTAAAAAAGAGCTGGGCACTAAAACGTATGAAGAAATCACAATATAAATTACACCCCGCCTTCAGTCAGAAGTGAAAATGTTGATTGTGGATATCAACTGATAAGAACACTTCTTGATATAAAAGCAAGCCCATCCCTATTCATTATTATACTTCTTCAGTTAATGTATTATTATTATCATTATTATTGATTGTAGTAGAAAGTAGAGTAATGTCAGAGAGAAAACAGAGAGTATTAAAAATATAGTTTATTCAGATATTTACAAGAACATTTACAGATCATATCAACATATACTTCAGCTGTGTGAAACTGACACTTGATCTGACTCGTGTCAGTGTGATAGATATCGTCCTGGTCTCGTTCATATATATTTATGTTCAGTATAACAGTGTTTTAGTTCTTCGCCTTTTTTTGGATCGTGACCTTGCTCCGCGCCGCTGGGACTCCTCGCTCGCCGTAGTTGTCAGTGCGGACTGCTGGGGACGAATGAGAGGAGATGTGTGTGTTTGTGCTGCGGCTCTAAGGCTCCGTTAAATCATGTCTCACGATGGAGGTGGAGGAAAAAGAGGGTTTTACTTCAACACCGTCCTGTCCTTGGCTCGGTCGCTGGCGGCCCACCGGCAGGCTCCGATAGACAAGGTAACTAACGGTGCGAGTACACGGAGACGCAGCTAGCGACAGCAGCGGGGAGCTAATACCTGTCCGAGACTCCGTGACAGCGAGGCCCGTCTGTAACTGCGCTCCTCCACCTGTGTGCTCCGTGTCAGGAATCTGAAAGCACCGTCGACACGTCGGGTTGCTTGTCTCTGTGGGAATTACCTTTCCCTTTCCAGTGTTAACAACGAGCTCGAGCCAGCAGCGTCTGACTTGAGAGCTAGCTAATGTTTGCTAGCGTTAGCTGTTTTGAACCTGAATGTAATCTTCCTGTTGTAAGACCTGATGTATTAAAGGAGGGAAAGCTGCCACAATATGTCCCATCTACTCACTAATTCCACTAACATCTGTCTGTGTCTGTGTCTGTCTGTGTCTGTCTGCCAGTCTGTGGATCACATATCTCGCGAACTGTTCATCCAATTGAATATCAGAGCTTTTATTTTGAAAAGTTAAGATCAGACCTCTGAAACAGACTACATGTTATCTCTGAGAAAAGCAGCAGTTTAGAAAATAAGTCAAATATATTTATATAGAGGGTACTCAAGTCAGCAATAATATATACTCTTAGTTGCAGACAAACCAGGTAGGATGAACAAACGTCACTCTGCACCATAGAACTGTTTGAGGAGCACTCACTGATTAAATAAATCTGAAGTGTCTCTGTGGAGCATTAACACAGGACAAGGAAAGAGCACATTCCAAACAGGCAGGTTTAGAACAGGCACTGCCCTAGTATTTTTAAAATGAATGTATTTGGGCCATTTATTCAGGGTGGCACAGGAAACAGTGGCTAATGGAAACTGTTATTTTCCGTTGACGCATGAGCTGGGGAGTTGTGTATAATTAAATTCAGTGTTGCTGAAACTTCATCTGTCAGAATAATGCTGTTGCCTGTTATGCTACTCACTCAGGTGGTTAGGATTTGAGGTCAGGGATTATGGGAGGCCACAGGGCAGCTTCTGAAAAGCTTCAGAAGAGGAGGCAGAAGTTGAAGTGATTGAAAGAGACACACAATGAGCCTGAACATGAGGAAATGTCTAACAGGAAGAATAATGAAAGAGCTGCAGTGTCAATAATACAGTGAAGAAAGAGCCCATTGTGTAATGTCTAAATGGACTATTTCTATGTTTGTTCAGACTGTAAGATTAGTCTTTCGTCTCTGTACTTAAGGTCTTTAGAAATGTGTTTGCTTTAAAGAGCAGTATGAGCACTTTATAAGAAGTGTTGATAGAAACAACAACCTCCTCAACTCATGATCATTTTCATCGTCGGTTACACTGCTGGTTATTTTTCCTGATCAATTCTTTGGTTGTTTTAAAAATTAACTGTCGGCAAATAAAGGTATCTATCATAATTGATCATCATGGTAAAGATGACTCAACACCTCTCTAAAAACTGAACATTATAACCCTCATAGATGGAGGAGTTATTGCAGGACTATTGTTTTGGACTGTTAGTTAAAGCTGGGTGTACTTAACAAACTGTTTGTCTTTGTGAATGTTTGATTAGGGAAACCTCAAACCTTCACACAGTTTGTACAGTGGATGTTAGAACAGCCGTTGGTACTTAAGAACACATTGTTGAATTTAATTGTGGTTAAAATAGCGCTCTGTTTTGAATGGAAGTATTTTTTTAAGTAGGCACGTTATACAAGCTCCAGAGAAAGTGAATATGTCTTGGTTCAGATTCGGCATACACATTTCATTTTTTACTTTTTTGGCTTTGACAATCTTATCAGATTTGACACTGTCATTTGAAATCCTGTTAATATTTTTCCATGGCAAATTTGACCAGAACATTAAACAAAATCGCCTTCGTGGTTCTTGATCCTACATTATCAGTTTTAAAGACTATGTACTTTCTTAATACTGTACTGTAGATTACTTAATTTCCCTTCAGGGATGAATAAAGTAATCTATCTATCTATCTATGTACATTTAGTGACAGATCATACATGGAGGAACTTTGTTCTCACTCTGTTTTTAAATGGTTGTTTATTCCTCTTTGAGTTTTGCACATCTGGCCCTTTAGCATTTGGCTAATTGATGCCAGTGCCAGGTTTTTGGCTCAATTCCTGAGGGCCATTTTATTATTGCTAATGGAACTAGACATGAATGATGAGTCTCGTTAATCCTGTGGGTAATTAAATTATTTTAAAAAATCCATCATATTATCAAAATAGCTTACCGTTGTTTAATATGTTTCTTCCAACACATCCAGCAGTAAATCACGTGTTGTCCTCCCACAGGTCCAGAAGTTACAATGCATGTGCCCTGTGGACTTCAGAGGCGTCTTCCAGCTGGATGAGAGGAGGAGAGATGCTGTCATTGCACTGGGCATTTTTCTAGTAGAGTCAGACCTGCAGGTAAACATTTCAGCTCCTCACTTCTTGGTGCTTCTATTCAGACAGTGAATTCACAGTATGTTGATGTACTTCTGTTGCAGCACAAAGATGCTATCGTCCCCTACCTCCTGGGGTTGCTCAAAGGGCTGCCTAAAGTTCAGTGGATTGAAGAAAGTTCCGAACGAAAAGGTAGAGGTAAAGATACCCCTGTGATTCTATTGTTACTTTTCTAATGATATTCAAGTGTCCATATTTAGCTTTTTAATGATTCATAATTTTAATTTGGGGTTCTACTAGAAAAGGTTTTACATGTTGTGGTGTTCCAAATAAACATTTATCTTTTCATACCCACAATGCTGCTGTACTTTTTTTTGACCCAAATCTCTATTTAGGGCTTGGCCAGCCTCCCAAAAAGCCCAGTGTGCTCTGATTAGTCAGCTGGCTCACTCTTTGTGGAAAATATCAAGCCCTTTACCCGAATACTTTCTGATCAGCTGTAAACACTGCTGTAGCCACGGTAACTATGGCATAAATACTTAGTTTGAGCCAAACTAGCCATCAGGCAGGTTACATGTTACTTAGTGACACTGTAATGGAAGAAAAAGCCAGGAATGCAAACAAGGCGCCTGAGGCTCTTCAGTTTTCTGTTGGAGGGAAAGATTTTAATCTTTGGGACTTAGCCTAACGTTTGCGTGCACACGAGCTATAACATATAAATGGAAAGAGAGCAACCCGAAGAAACCATATGGGCACATTAAATAAGTCATATAACATTAAATCAAATCATTTTCAGCTGTGCTGTGTGAGTACTAATGGCATTATGTCTTAGTATCATTATGGTACTTTTTAATAACATTAGGTGAACTTGCTCTCTTACAGAAAACCTGCCTGTTGCGGAGAACTTCAGCTTTTGTCTTGTGACGCTTCTCTCAGACGTCGCTCAGCGGGATGAGAGCTTACGAGGGCAGGTGTGTGTTTGTACTAATGTGTGGTCAATTGAAAGATTAGACTTGTTTGAGATGAGCCGAGCCTGCACAGAATCTAACGCCAGGGATCACTGTCCCCGGCATGCTTCTGTCCCACTCGATGTGTGCATGCTATGACATGCTGAGATGAGTCCTTCCTTTGTTAGGTATTTGTGTTGGTTTTGATTTCGTTAGACTTATCAGACTGTAAATGTTTACTCTGTGGACAGAATAATTGCTCTGATGCTAGATAAGTAAACCAGATACAATCACAGAGCTGTGCCAGTGTTTTTAATGGTAGATATTAATTGAGACAAATTGTCATTCATAAGGGAGACATGAGGA